TTGATAAAATACACCGCTAGTAAATAAAATTGCAACACTTTCAAAATGTTTCCATTTACTCAAGATTAAATGTTCACATAATATCAGTGAATTACTGTAAATGATCACACACACACACACATTTGTAAAAATACATAGTACATTTTACTAATATATACTTAATAACTCTGTTATTTAGCAGTGAGCACTGTTTTTCTTACACTAAAGGACATATGCATGTATTTGTATCTGAACACTTACATGTACATTTATTTATATTTATTCTTTTGAGATATATATATATAAATACTTACATTATTTACATTATTTTGACTGTTACATATATAAGTATATAGAATCTGGACAAAGTTTTGAAGAAATTTGACAAATGGAAAACCATTTTCCTTGAAACTAGATTTGATTACGCGTTTCAACTTTCTAGGCTTCATAAGATCCAAGAATGAAAGAAAGAAATATGTGTGTGTGTATTTGTGTGTATGCTTAAATAATAGATTATTGGTACTTTTTCAGCTAAGCTCGCATTTCTCATGATGAAAGAAAAGAATGAAAATGAGTGACTTTTAAAAAAGCCATTAATATTCATTCAGTATCTTTTCTTCATAATTATTAGTTCAAGTTATTAATACATTCTCCAAGCTTAGTGGGAAAAATACTAATGATTCATTATTTAAGTACACACAAACACAAACACATTTCTTTCTTTTGTTTTTGGATCCGATGAATCCTAGAAAGGCAAAGCACGTAATTAAATCTAGTTTCATTGAAACAATTTTCCATTTGTATATATATATATATATATATATATATATATATATATATACTTACATTGTTTACATTATTCAGACTGTTATTCTCATCTTCATTGCCATATTCACAATGTTCTGTTCGTTGTACACTCTGGCCTTCTTCAGGTGATTGGAATTTCAAACCGAACCATTTATTTTGCCCACCAGGGTAAATTTTTCTACTTCCGTGTGCCATGCCTCTTCCAAATGTCTCAGTTATTTCCCTTTAACTGAACTTTCCAAGTTTGGTTTATCACTGCTGTGGCCTGGTATTTAGCATTCACCAGATAATACCTCAACTTCGATTCCCACTATCCAGACAGTGTAAAGAAAGGGATCATCCGCTGCTTACAACATCAAGCAAAAGTCATAAGTGGTGACCCAGAAACATACCAACAAGAAATGGTCAGTATAAGCAGTACCCTACATGTAACAACTACCCTGGGTACATTGTAGCAGCTCCAAAAAACTGGGATAGAAGAGTTTCTTCAAGAGAGTAACATCACTCAGAAAACAGTCTGTTTACCCTATGTGAAGGGAAAAACAGACCGCCCCTTAAGGTAAGACTGCAAGAACATTGTAAAGCAGTAACACAAGGGGAAATAGAAAAATCAGGTGTAGCTGACCACATATGGAGGGAAAAGGGTGATTACCACCCCCTGTGGGATGAGGTTGAAATAATAGAGAGCATCACTGGAAAATATGAAAACTTAAGGAATCAGCATATATGCTTGGCCACAAAAACCTCCTGAGCTGACCAAAGCAATATGAGAGCCAGTAACAAGGAGTGCTCGATAAAAGCAATGCATGACAACAAAAACTGCAATATGAGCTCTGGTAAAAAATGCAATAATAATAACAAAAAAATTACAGTATGAGCACTGGTAAAAAATGATTGCTGAGACATTAGGTTTATAAGTTCCCAAAAATTCATACACACGGACACATGGCCTAGTGGATAAAGACGTTGGTTAAGGTCCAGTGACTTGACCCAAAGAGTTGTGAGTTCAATACCTAGTGGTCAATCAAACTTGGAGACCTTGAGTTAAAAAGAAATAAATGAGACATCCAGAAGAGACATAGCATGTGGAACTAGAACAATCTACCTCAGAAGGCCAGAGTGTACAACAGCCGAAACATTGTGAATATGTCAATGAAGATGAGGATAACAGTTCAAGTAGTGTAAATAATATAAGTAATCATATTACCTCATCTCAGAGGTATAGACAGATATATACATTTATTATTTTAAATGTTATTTTCAGTGGATGCTTATTGAATTCTCCAAGAACTCTCATTTTAATGTCAACTGATTTATATATCTACATTTCTGTTGGTACTTATTCAAGGAAAGCAAATAATTTTTTCCTCAACATTGGGTTATTCTATGATATTTTTCTTTGCATAGCTTGGGAAAAATGTTATTAATTTAATATACAGGGTAGTCCAAAAGTTTTGTCACCCTTACATAATATAATTTTCTATTTCAGATGGCTAGTATGAACTCCTACATTTTGGAAGAGGTAGGGGGGTAACAAGACTTTCGAACCACCCTGTAGTTTGTTTAACATATATTTTATGAAGCTATAATGTTTAGCTATTAAATAAAAAAAATGTTTTGTGCCTTATTTGTGTTTATTTGCTGCTAACTAAAAAATCCACGTGAACATCTTAAATGTGCTAATTCCAAACTTTTTGCCCAGTGTTGTATAACTTGTATTATGATTCTTTCCCATGCTTGAAATCCAGGTGCCGATGTGAGGTCACATAATTCTACACTTAGAGGAACATCTCAGGTCAACTCTGCATCTAGCTCTTTTGATGGTCAGGTGTGATATTGAATACAAATTCTATTCTGGCAGGCATCACAGACTACACATACTACAGTCTGGTCAATTCATTTTGTTTGAGGAAAAAAAGAAAATATCACTTTTCTTCTCTAAATGAAATAAAAAGCTTATTTCACTGCTGTTTCACCCTAACATTGTCTTAAAATACGTGTTGTCTCGTGAGATTTAAATAATAAATTACAAGTGAGTAAGATTGGTATATTGAAATAAACTTTATTCTTGTATTTATAAATTGCACCTTATTAATGTACAGTTAATTCTTCAACTCTTAATAATAGAAAATAATCAAGTTGTTAAAATATTCAAATTCTAACAAGCAAATGAGTATTTGTGAAAACTATGAATGTTGTTTAGAATATTAATTAATGTTGAAAAAATACTGGGTTAGATGAGTATTTTTTTAATTAATATTAGTGTTAGTCAGTCTTGTAAAATTGTCAATTTTGTAAGACTTTGGCTGCACTGCTCTTGGAAAATCAGTGTTATGCTTATCTTTGAAATTGATATGCTATTGACAAAACAATTTTCTGATCAGGTTTATCAATTCTTAGACCAGCCGGTGTTCATTATTTAAGCAGCTGACAATAATCATTATAAAATATTCTCCCCAGTCATGATGAACAGTTGGACTCCATACTTTAAATATTTCTCGGTACTCCCATTCACTCCAGAGCTCAATTGAAATTCATACATACAATCCATTGCTAAAGATCCTGGCAAAGGGTCACATCTACCATTCCAGAAAATACCTGGCTCCTTTCTCATGTTTTATCTTCATTATTACAAAAATGATGTACCATTTCTTGTCTCCAGTCTTGATGAATGGTTACACTCTCAATGAGGCTCGATACTTTGAATGTCTCAAGACCTCAAGTGAAACTCATGCATATGATCCATTGCTAAAGATCCTGGCAAAGGGTCACATCTACCATTCCAGAAAATACCTGGCTCCTTTCTCATGTTTTATCTTCATTATTACAAAAATGATGTACCATTTCTTGTCTCCAGTCTTGATGAATGGTTACACTCTCAATGAGGCTCGATACTTTGAATGTCTCAAGACCTCAAGTGAAAACTCATGCATATGATCCATTGCTAAAGATCCTGGCAAAGGGTCACATCTACCATTCCAGAAAATACCTGGCCCTTTCTCATGTTTTATCTTCATTATTACAAAATGATGTACCATTTCTTGTCTCCAGTCTTGATGAATGGTTACACTCTCAATGAGGCTCGATACTTTGAATGTCTCAAGACCTCAAGTGAAACTCATGCATATGATCCATTGCTAAAGATCCTGGAAAAAATGTCATCCGACTCTTTCTTTTTTGTTTTATCTTTACAAGATCAAAAATCCACTGGAACTGCCCAATCCCCACTTTCCAACTTTGATAGAATTCTAAATCCTTTCTGCTCTTATGGCAGATGATTTATTCTTCCCTCTGCAGCCATTTTTTCTCACAGACACAATGTCACCATTGCTATTTCCATGGCAAATGTTCAGACAAGCTCCATCATTTAGTTCCACCAGCTCACTTTTGCGGCTGCTTTACATGCTGCTTCCATGAAGTCGAAACATCCGCATTTCTTCCATATTCTAAATATAAAGAGAAATCAGGTAGCTTTTACCAGAGAACTGCTACTTTGTAGAATAGGCTCACTCATGGAAGCTTCCCTAAACAATAGAATCTTAGCCTCTTCAAGTCAAGGGTTAATCATTATCTATCCTCCATATCCATATAATCTTTACTTTTTGTCGACTCCTATTTCATTCATATCACACAGCTCATTCATCATAACCATTTTAACAGTAACCCTCTACACAACAATCTTAACCTCTTCAAGACATAGGTCAGTACCTCTCTATCCTCCTTATCCTCATCAACTTGACTTCCTAGTATCTCCTATTTCATTCATATCACACACCTTATTCATCATAAACATTTTAAGTCTAACTCTGTACCTTATCTAGTGCTATTTCCAATGGCAAATCTTCAGGTTGGCACCATTCTTTGGTTCCACCAGGTCAGAACTGGTTGGGACTTGCCACATTATATCCATGGAATTGAATCACCCACATTTCCTCCATATACAAAATAATAGGATAAATTTCCACTCAACTTTTTTTTTCCTCAAGAACTGCTACTTTGTTCCCTGAACACGGCACTCTTAACCTCTTCAAGATTTAGTCATTGTCTATTCTTCTTACCCTCATAAGATTTACTTCCTACCACTTTCTCTTTCATTTATAATACACACCTTTGAGGGACTCTTGAGTCTTGGGTGAATCTTAATATGAAAAAAGTTTGATATTATTCAGAGATACAGTTGGTGCCTATGGGGCTAGTCATAATGACATTCAGGCATGACGATTGTTCTTGATCGTGGGGTTATCTCTAATAATGACATTGCTGGGAACGCCGCCATAGATGCATTTCAATACATATATGCATGTCTGTCTGCATTATTATCCCCCTCCCTAGACATCCATATCTGTGCATTTGTATTCTCAGCTTTTCTTTCTTTCTTTTACAACAGCTGCGTCATAGTTCATATCAGTCATAGTTCACAAGTGAGGTCTCCTTCAAAATGTTTATACATTAAAGCCAGACTTACATTAAGCCTCTAATTGGCATACATCCTCTCCAGCTGATACCGACAGTTCACTGGCAAGGGATGGTTAACATCCGGGTGACATGGCCTAATCTGTATTCCATAACTCTATGACAAACTTCTACTAGATAAATTATCTATCACTGCCAGTCTCCTTTCCTTCTCCATCTTTCTCTTGACGCAAATTGGTAACGCCTAACAAAATGTGTAAAATCACGAGAAAAGGCATTTAAAGGCAGACAAAAAAATAAAAATAAAAAATAGTAATGTTTAACAGATCAAAAATGTTCAAAAGACTTATCATGGGATCGACTTTAAGTTTTGCAAATACACCGTTTGTTTTATTCTTCTCCTATATGCCATGTCCCTTCAGCACATTGTCATTCGCTACTCTCCACAATTTCCCATTTTTTGTAGCTCTTAAGTTTTGTCTTTTTACTATCCCTCCCGAACTTTGCTCCATCATCCATTTACTTGAACTCGCTGGGTAGGTTACGCATTGTTTTCCTGTCCATCTTGCTTTCAGTCTGTCTTGTGTGTATCAAATTTTCCAAGCCCTCTTTCTTCATTATGCATCCTAGAAATTTCAACTCTCTCTTTCTGATGTTAAGTATAAGCATCTTTTTTGTTTCCATTTTCTCTAAAATTTTGTCATTGCTCTCCTGTTCGGTACCTACAATAGCAATAACACAAGTGACAATGCCTAAACAAGACTTGTAAAATTACAAGAATTTAACTTATTTAAGGTTGAGTACAGAAAAAGAAAAACAGAACAACAGACAACGGACCAAGAAAACTTCAAAAGATTTGTGACTGAGTTTCACAGATACACTATTTTTCTCCTTCAAAACATTGTTGATCATGACTCTCCACAATTTCCTATCCTTTGTAGTTCTTAATAAATTTTTTTTCTTTTTATCTCTCCTAAACGATATTCTCCAATCCATTTGCTCAAGCTTACTAAGCAGGATATGCCTTGGGTTGCCACATATCAACTCTTTTTAGATAAAAGGTTCCTGATGAACATTAAATTCAGTTAAGGTCTTTGATATTTCTTGGCATGCATCACAAACTATGATGGCTCAGGTGATTATTATGGCTGGAGTTAATCAAATTCCTATTTTATACAAATTTATATTTTCAGTCAATGCATTTTATGAGGTTTGGCAGAAATACCTCTCACATAATGGTAAGGCATTATCAAGATGAAAACACCATTACCACTAATGTCTTACAATTATGTGAGAGATATTTTGCCACACTCTATAAACATTACATATATTGGTTGCATATGTTCATGTAGACGTTCTTGTTTCTTTTAAACAGTGAAATTAACATCTGTCATTAATTTCAGTTACATGCAAAACAAAATATCAGGGTTTAAATGCCACCTATTAAACAAAAAACACTACAAATTTTATAGGCAAACTTCTGCTGTGTCCATTCACTGCCATATAGGAGGGTTGATATTAAAAATAAATCAAATAAAATATTCTATAAAAATCATATGTATGGTACTATAAGCAAGACAAATCTTCCCTTAGAAACATTATAAAGAAATATGCAACTCCAGTCAACAAAAACAAGAAAATTAAATTATCTACAATAAAAAATTAAAAACTGCTAACCACATTGTCAATAATAATAACAACAACTCACATGAAAGATCCAAATTACAGAGAGCTAATATTATTTACAAATTCATATGTCCCTTAAAGAACTGTGTTACTGATCAATCCAAATTCATAATAATTATATTGGACATGCCTAACAATCATAGCTCAATTAGGTTTCAATTAAATACACATGGAGATCTATTAAACTATCCATAACATACTCATTGATAATACAAATATAATAGCATCATCCACTTGTATAAAAAGGTTAAAAATAATGGAAAGAAAAAACCAACACTCAATAATATCAACTATGAACATGGCCACAATGTACTGACCGTGTTTGGAAAATAAAACATTCCAAAAACTAGATACATACACAAAAATCCATACATTCAGTTAAAAGCAAAAATAAAATCATCCTTGATAATGGCTAAAAGAATAGTCGAAAGCACTTGTACATACACAATATTCAGAGAATTTCTACATAATTTAGGCCCAGAAAAGAATAAAGTTATAAGAACACAAGAAAAATTAATTAAAAAGAACTTAACCATAGTAACTTGCCAATTGTTTTAATGAAAGTTGTATCAAAGAGAGATTGCTGTCCAGATACACAATTTTATTATATATATATATATATATATATATATATATATATATATGTGTGTGTGTGTTTTGGCTTGATTATTTATATATACTAGTCAGTTGTGCATTAGAGATAGTAAAGTCGATTGCATTATTCTTATGGTGATTGGGTGGGCTGTAACAGTTATGTCCCAAACCATTCTCGAGGATGATGAGTAGAAATAATTGTAGATCCAAATGCAGTCATTACCTTTTTACTCATTATTTATTATGATTACTTAATTATTCGTTGTTGATTATTGTTACTACATTGACTTGTGTTTGTGTGCATTCATAATTTGTTTACTTTACTTAATTCGTTTATTTAAATTTTTTCAGGTGTTGTTTATCTTATTTGTCTACTTTCAAGTGTTGCTTTCATCAAAAGTATGTTACATTATCTGCTTTGTATATTGTGCATATATTTGCATTTTTCATGGTGGTGTTTTTTTTTCATTTTTAGCTTTTGATTTTTAAGTAATATAGTAAAAATTAGTTTTCATGTCAGTATTTTGAGATAAAATTTGATCGTTTATTTAGTAATTTGTGTTGGTCTTGGAAGTTGATTATTTTCTACTCCAGTTGTAGGCTGATGACATTTTCTCTATTTTCCATAAACTTTTCAGTACCTGATGAATATTCATGAGCATTTTTAAATTTAAAAATTTTGAGTAACTGTCAAATATATACTTGTTGCAAAGTAGAATCATTACATTTGACTTTTGACTAAAACAAAGTATAGTTTTCTTTGTCTTTTTATTCATATATATATATATATATATATATATATATAATGTTTACTTGGGCTTGTATAATAAATGCCACATAGTAGGAAGTGATATTAAACAACAAAGAACAAGAAGTCTTGGCCATAAATAAACTCCAACCCCAGACCAAGGAGGACTGACATTGAAAATAAATTTAAAACAATGCTCCAAGACAAACACTTAGGGGCTGATGATAGCTGTGTACAGAACAGCTTGAAATAGACTATCCTCTATGTTGAGGTAATTTTTGGTTTTGCTGTAAAAAAATAAAAATGTATATGCACACACACATATAGATACACACATATATATATATATATATATATATATATATATATGTGTGTGTGTTAAATGCAATTATATGCCATTTTCTCAGCTCTTTTATGTCCTTTTCTATTGTAAAAAATTCCTTGTCTACTTTTCTTTATTATTTATAATGAAAAAGAATTCAAAAATATTTCTTTTATTTCTGCTGAAGGCATCTATACATACAGATAAAGCTTAATTGTCTGCAACCTGCCAAAAAATATTCAAACAAAAGCAACTTATTCGGTATATCTTCATCTTCATCACTAAAATCAGGTCTTTATTGTTGCTGCTTGTTCATTCTTCTTGCACGCATACATATAGGGAACCAAGAAAATTCGCTAAATAGTTTATATATATATATAAATAGTTTATATATATAAATAGTTTTACCTACTTACATTCATTTATTCACATACACTCATGTGTCCATTAAGAGCATGAGAGACATGTCTTTTAAATACAGGAGTGGCATGCCCTTTCCTTTAACAGCAAGGGAAACATGCCCTTTAACATCGAGAGAAACATGTACTTTTAACAGCAAGGGAGACGTGTCCCTTTAACAGCAAGGGAGACTTGTCTTTTTACTGCAGGAGACATTCTGGCAGCCAATAAAGTCTAATTTCTTCTGCATTTTTCTGTTGCTTGCTTAATTGTGGCAGTTTATCTAATAGATCCTGTGATTTCATGTGGCTTTTCCACTGTAGTTGAGTCCGTTGTAATATAACGTCCATACTTGTTGTATAACTTCAATATTTGTAGATGAATGCAAAAAGAGATTAATTTTATATTGTGAAACATAATCCAGCACCCCAATCTGTTTTTCTATAAAAAAAAAATATTCTCATTCTATTCAAATGAAACCCATTTATAAATTTTTCTTTCTTTGATGAATTTCTCTTAAATGACTTGAAATGGTTCCTATCAAAACATTGGTTTCTGAGTTCTCAAAGTTTATTGAATCATTCTCTACCAAAGCCTTCACATCTCCAATGATTGATGCTTTAGAGTACTTTTTTATGCAGATGTCTCCATTTGCAAATATTTTGAACCAATGTTACTATTCATTCAGTAAGAATAAAAACATGAGATTCAAATGTGAAATGTATCCAAATATGAAGTAAAATACAACTTGTCTGAAGTTATTATGCAAATCAAATAAACCTCAATAACTTAAAAAGTTCTAAATTATCAAATTTCTAAGTTCTAAGTTATCAAATTTAAACTCATTCATTTCCACCCTTAGTAAAATACTTAAGTAAATTTTCTGCTATTTTTAATAGTTTTTGAGATACTTGAAATTTACAAAAATGGACTGACTGAAGATTAAACTAATAGCTTAAGACTTCTGAAATCTAATAAAAGCTATTTTTTATTTTTGGCCATAATTTATGTTGAAACATGGGTAAAGGGATGGATGTAACAACTGCTGAAAAACAGAAAATAAAGTTATTGAGTAAGGAAATATCCACATTGGCAGTATCAAGGGAGCTTTTCAAAGATCATCAATCGATAAAGCAGGAAGTTGAAAATATAAGTTGAGAACTTAAAACAAAGAAAAACGCTTTAAGAACTTGCTTCCTCCAGATGAACATAAATTAAAGTGAGCTATAGTGAAACAACCACTTTTGACCAGTTCTCAGTTCTT